GTCACGTCTAAACTGTTAAATCAAGACAACTGTATAAGCATATTCATTGGAAGTATGAAGGTAGCTACCAAAAGAAATATCTAAAAGAATATAAATTAATCCATTGTCTCTGGAATATAGGTCTAGAGGGTGGGAAGGGAGAGGATGGAGACATTTTAAGCATTATACATATGTTAATCCTTTTTTATTTACCATGAACATGTATTGCTTCAACAATTAAAAAAAATATATATATATATATGCATACTATTGAACCCTCCTTCTAGAAATCTAGAATCAGTAGGTCTAGGGGCACAGGAATTTGTATTTTTAAAAAGCTCTCCAAGTGGTTCTTACAAAGTTAATCTTGTGCCTTTACTTTCAGAAGCACAGATAGAGGGTAGCAACCAGTAAAACAGCGGTAACATCTATCTGCTCAAGTGGAGAGGCACCAGGGTCTAAGGAATTCTAGGATGGGCTGGGCATGGTGGCTTAGAACTGTAATATTGGCATTTTGGGAGGCTGAGGCAGGGGCCTTGCTTCAGGCCTGGAGTTTGAGAATAGCCTACACAACAAAGTGACACCTTGTCTCTATAGAAATTTTAAAGAAATTATTGAGGCATGGTGGTACAAGCATGTGGTCCCAGCAACTTGGAGGCTGACGCAGGAGGATGGCTTGAGCCCAGGAGCTGGAGGCTGCAGTGAGCAATGATTGTGCCACTATATTCCAGTCTGGGTGACAGAGTGAGACTTTGTCAAGAAGAAGATGATGAAAAGCAAGAAGAAAGAAGAGCGAAGAAAGAAACAAGAAGAAGAAGAAAAAAAAGAGAAAGATGAAGAATGCTAAAATGTTTGCATGTTTTTTTCTCAGAATACTTTCTTGTGATTTTACTAATAAAATGGATAATTACTAAAAGAGGGCAAATAAAAATGAACAGGTTGTGAGTTACTTCATAATTCAACCCCTGCTTACGGAAGCACTTCACGAGGGTTAGCTCTCTTCTCTCTTGTATATATTGCAAACCACAAGCTTTGATTCAAAAACTAGCCTGGGGAAAAGCACAAAACATCATGTAAAGACAGAAGCTTTTTAACTGAAGGATGTTAGATAAATAACTATTTTTCAGACTCTGTGGTTTCTGTGTAAGCCATGTTACATCAAACTTGATTTTTAAAATACTTTAAAGAATGTAATCAGGGTCTCTGGTGTTTACAAACGATTGCTGGGATGTGCAGAATACTTAATAATCAGAACTCAGAGGGTTTCTGGGCACTATGGTAATTCTTCCTGAGAAACCTTCTAGAACATCATAGGACCATTGGGATTGGTTCAAATAGTTATCAAAAAGCAGCCAAAGGCACACTGCCCTCATTTTCCCCTGTTCTCCATCCCTTCCCAGGAGTGAGTGCCGACTAAGAAAGAAATAATTCCCAACTCCACCCTTGCTTCTCTTGTACAGGACCCTGGGTCAAACTTTTTGGTACAGTGGATTTTCCTTTGTGTCTATAAAAACTACTGACATCTCTTTGCCTAAATGAGAGATCACCTAGAGCTGGAGAAGTTGATTAAAATATTTTCATGTTTATTTCAATGTCAAATGAGACTGCTCACCTTTTAAATACCAATGACTTATCCTTTATATCTGTAGTATCTATTATTTAATTTTTGAGGTTCACTGGATAAAGTCATAGTAAAAAAGAATATTAATTTTGTCTTTTCCATGTACTTGTCTTTTAAATTTGGTCCAGAAACGGAAAAACTGGTTTGTGCTTCAGTGGTCAGCTACATTGTCCAATTAGCATTGACTAGGCTATACTGTAAAAGAGGAATTCAGCCTATTCAAATTTCATTTCTTTGTTTTCAAGAGCATCCATCCACCCATCCATCCATCCATCCGAGAAGTATTTATGAGAACCTCCTATTTGCCCAGCACTTTTTTAAGTTCCACGAACATATAAGTAAACAAAATATTAGCCATAGAGTAAACCTCTATGCCAAATGGGCTAAAAATTAGTTGAAAATTTCTATGAGAATAGTTTTAATTACAGGTATATGTGTATATCTGATATTTTTGGCTTTTTAAATTTGAGGATATGTGACACTATACTGTCCTCCAATGTTTGCTACAAGTCTAAGTAGTTCATCTTTACCATTTATAATTATCATTTTGCTCTATACTTCACCATGAATCCACACTAAAGGTGAAACATTAATGTACACGGTGACAGCATAGCCCCTTTTCTAGGCATTTCTTACTACTGTGCCTCTCTGCATGTACTGTTTCCTCTTCCCATGATCTTCCTCTCTTGTCTGCCTAGCAGATACTTATTCATCATTCAAAACTCTTTCAGACATCATCTTCTCTTTGAAGTCTTCCCTAAGCACCTCCCAGCAGAACTGATCCCCACTTCCTCTGTACTACTGTTGTACTTACGTACATATTTTTATTATTGCATTGATATAAATATTCATTAACATGTCACTGGAAAACTTCTTGAATGTAGAAACATTTGTCTCATTTTTACATCCCTAGTAATTTAGGATTTGCTAGTAATTAGCAAAATGTCTGGCACGTTCACTAAATATTTGCTGAATTGGACTGAAGAGCCATTCCCTCTCTTATAACATGTGGGATGTCACAGAAATGTGTTTTTACATGTGATTTTAAATTATCTCACAATTACAGCTAAACATTTTAAATTTTTTGAATATTTAACAAGACTTACTTTTTGTTTTATAAACTCTTATCCAATGAGAGACATTATCATCCCCACAAGAGCCTAATAAAATTATGCACTTAGCAATATACTTTAAAAATTTTCTGTTGCTTAGCCATGAGTGATGATGCATGCCTGGAGTCCCAACTATTTGGGAGGCTGAGGCAGGGCAATCGTGTGAGCACAGGGGTTTGGGTCCAGCCTGGGCAGAATATCATGACCCCATCTCTTGAGGAAAAAAAAAAACAAAAAAACTTCTGTTTTTCAATCCTTCTACTCTCCTGACTTTGTGCCAGTATTGTGGTGACTATGGGCCCATTATATTTTGTTTCAATTACTTGTTTATGTGCCTGTGGCCTCTCCTAGATTTGAACGCCTTGAGAAACAGGACTATGTTCTTCCCATTTTTATAGCCCTGTTGCACTGCAATGACTATGAGAGGGAGGTGCTTAGCAAGTTAAATGCACAGAAGACTAAAAATGCATGATGGTGAACAGAATCATATCTTTGGTTCTTTTCTCTCCCCTAGGACCTGCTTTGTGATTATCTTAAATGAAGACAGTCTGCTCGATTCTAAATAAAGCTTTGACTTTGTTGTTGAATAAAGCTAACTGAGACGGTGTGGGTGTGGCAAACTAGCAAAATGAGTAAAAAAGAAAAAAGATTTTCTATGCAAATATTTGTATTTTGTCTTTTAAGTTTACACTGAATTAAGTCTCTCCCAGTTTTAAAACATAAAATAGTGGAAAGAAAAATAACTACATGCTTATTATAAAAAAATAGTTTTGTGAAATATTTCACTGAAGTTCAAAAGCATTGGGGAATCTTTCCCCTCTCCTAAGATGATATTAGTCCCATAATTTTCTTTTATCCTAGTCAATAGGGTAATTTTTGTTGAAACATTTGATGTTTGTGGGGTTTTGGCAACATGAAGTTGTGGATGCTCAGTAAAATATCACCAAATGAATGGCAGCATGGACACCCTCTATCTCACTCTAGGAGAAAATTATGTACAAGTGACTTTTATAATGGTAGTGTTCAGAAACATGGTGAGTTAGTTTTGAAGCTTCATCTCAACTTTTAAGGAGATATGACATCTATTATACGCATTATTACTCACAAGTGAGTGGCAGAGACAAATATGAGGATACCTTAAAAAGTTATTTATACAGAAACTCTATGGTAAACGGCAATACAGCATTGGTGATATTTAAAATGAAAAATGTCAGACGAACACCTCAATTTTGTGTTGTTTCTCTATACACAAACCACTTTAAAATCTATGGAAGAACAATTCATATATGCTTTGGTCATAAAAATGGCAGAACTCTTTCTCCAAAGTAATTCTCTAATTTTTGTATATACTAGAACACATTTTCAGAAAGTCGATATCATAAACTAAATCAATGCAAAAAACATGACAATGGTGATAGAGCATATTTCTTTAGAGATGTGTTAACTGTACTTTATAATATATTCTAAGGCACTTAAAAATTACACTATAAAAATCTTGAATCAGCACTTAAAATACATAAGGTCAAATTTAATTTCTTCATTGTTTTCTAGATAAGGAAATTAATATTTATAAGTTATGGGACTTATCCAAGACCATGGGCCAGGCAAGAAAATTTAAAATCAGACTGTGAAACCAAACCTCGTTCAATACTTTTTCCTTTACTCTGTACAATTTTCATATTTTATATGTTCCTGCCCTTAGCAATTTGCCTCTGTATTTCCACATGAAATAAATTTCAATTATAATTTGAGTAGACATCTGAGTAATTATATATGAAAAATAATTTTTAAGGACTAGAAAATACCCATATAGTAAAACATTGTATGGGGGCTTATACCAACTTATACCAGTTTAAAATTTGTTCTATAAGATGAGCATGTATATTTCAATAACTAGCCGGGATGATTTAGCATGAGAATATTATAAGATTAACACAGATTTTAAAATATTGTGGCTGAATATAAGTTAGAAAAGTGTGAAATGTTAATTACACCCCTAAGAACAAACGCTAGATATAAATTAGACAAGTGTCAATCTCAAGAGTCCATTGAAGCCAGCAAACAGAAGGGGCAGTCTAAAAATATAAGGCAAAAATTATATTCAAAATTGTTTCCAAATTAACTCAACTTGATATTTTTTAACTTAGGGAAACATAATTTATACTTTATGCTTTTCCTAAACTGAAGTGACCTTTGTCTTTTGAATAAAAACACAAAAGAAGCTGCTTATATTCGCCTTTAGAAAAAAAATGTTGCAAAACAATTTTCGAAAGCATCAAGGACCTTACCTGTTTCCATTTTTCCATCCTGTGCTGCAGGCCCATCCGGAATCACACTTTTCACCTGCAGAAACTCGTCAGGCTCGTCTCCACCAATTATGGTAAATCCAAAACCCATGTTGCTCTTTTTTAGGGTGGTGCTGAGGAATGTTCCCTTCAACTGGGATGCATCCCGGGTGAAGAGTGGTTTTTCTACATTGGCCAATATAAGTTAAAAAAGAAAAAGGCATGTTTAAGGCAAGTTCTCAGACAAGAGAAAGCCAGCCGCTGAGCAGCAACAATCCCAGGGGTAAATGTGGGGGGTCTTAGCAAATGCAAGCAGGTGGCGACTGCAAGAGGAGCAAAACTATCAGAACTTCCTACAGGTGAAAAGCAGTCCCAAGCATCCAGGGAAAGATGAAAAGCTGTTTGGTTTGGAGACAGACTTTTTGTCAAATCAGTTTCCATTCATTAATTTAGCCTTCTTGGGCTTAAAAAAGGCTGTGTCAACAGGGTGCCAGAGCCTTCAGAGAAAGAGGAACAAGGAGCTCAAATCATACAGACACATCTGGATCTGTTCCTCTTGTTATGAAAGATTCCGGGTAGGAGGTATGTGTCAGTGGCCGATTCTAAACTAAGCCTTGAAGAAATAAGGGTAGAAAAATAAAATGGACTTGTGATTTTTTTAAGTGAATGAGAGCACAACATTTCAGCATGTACAGCATAGCAAACAGAGAAGCAGTGGAACGTGATCACATATTCAAAGGTCCAGGTTGCTTAGAAAGAGTACCTGTATGTGGGACTGACTTTTGTTTACACCCCTCTATTGTGAGGTACTGTGAAGATAACTAGATATATAAATTGCTATTGGCTCCCATAGTGTTTAGTATACTCTAAAATGCGAGCAAAAGGCAAGCCAATGTTTTTAGATATAATTATGAATGTAAAGGTAACACATTTTGTAACAATATGTTGATAGATTCAAATCATACGGCTGCCTGAATAATTTGAATAAGCAGCCGTATAGATTTACCTGCTAATTTATTATATGATATGCTTTTCCAGCTACAATCTGTAACAAATATATTCCTAACCATAATAAGTGCTTTAAAAATAACAGTCATACTAGGAAATGGAATTAATATCTGCTTTAAATTCCATCAGATAAATATTTTATGATTCTTTAAAAATGTGTTATATTTAGGTGATCTGATTTAATATTTGTAATAGCCAAATTGTACATTGTAACTCAGTTAAGTATTCTGCATGATACCTTTTCTTGTTACATTTTGGGTGGTATGAAATCAACTCTAAGAAAATGAGTCATTCTCTTACGCTTTTACTTTTTCTGTTCACTTACATGTCACGTGTATCTTTATTAAAAACAGAGCTTCTTTAAAATAAATAAAAACCATAATATTTTCTTCTATGTTTTATCAAACTAAAGTTTATAATTGGAGAGAAGCTCATCAGGAGACCTTTACATTCATTTAATTATGCTGTAGTATATGGCGTGAAAATTAGCAGGCAAGCCTAGACCTCCCGACTCCAAAGGCTCTTTGGTGCTTTTATTTAGAAGCCCACTAGCTGTGAAAAGTTTGTGCAGCAACTCATCCCACTACGTGGCTCCCAGGTGTAGTCAGGCCCCGAAAGCAGCCCTGGGACATACCGAACAGCCAGGGCCTCCCTGCTGGGTCACGCTGATAGTAAGACAAGTCATCCACACTGCGCGACCTCTCCGGGGCAGCGCGGGGGCAGATGGATTTGGGCCTAGGTAATGTCGATGAGGAGCTGTCTACGTCACAAAGGAGAACAAGCCTCATTCTTGTGCTTGGTCTTTTAAGGACAAACTTATGAGTCTCTATGAATCTCTGCAGTTTACAGTGCCACTATCAAAATCCATTCATCTCTACCTGGCGACATGCTGTACATTCCTACAAGGTACTGCCTGAGGCTTTAACTTCATCTGTGGTTGCTAAAGGCATTAGTTTAGAGAGAAAGCAAACATCCAGCTAAAGCTAATAGAAGGGTCTGGAGAAAGCAAATCAATTTTTCAAAATGGTCCAAGCTACAGACATATTTGGAAGAGCAGGCAGTTTGACAGACAATTTTCCCTTTGAAACATCACATGCTGACAGGTATCATACCTCGGAAACCTGGGGCCTGCAGAGGCTTTGTTCCAAGTTCTGTGTGGGGCATGTTATGTTGCTGTAGCTTCCTTTTTGCTTCCAGGACAGGATTTTCAAACTGTGTTCTTCTATTTATGTGGCTAAAAAAGAAAATTTCAAATTAGGACAACAGTGGGGCAAAGTCATTTAAAAGGCCATATGTATGGCTCTAGACAGAGCAGGTGATTAAGGGTCACCTTATCTGATTACAGTCAAGTGCCTCACCCAGCATGCGGTCAGGCTCCAGACCAGGCTGGCCTGTGTACAACACACATTTCTGTGACAAGTGCTGAGTTCTCAAAGGGTCCATCATATGCCATTCTGCTTACATTATACATGATTCAGCCAAAAGAACTAGAATGTGCACTGGCTTTCTGGTCTACTGTGTTCCTTTGAGGTGAGTTTGATGTATAAAAATAAGTGGTGAAGAAATTTATACTGAGTGGTGTTGAAGAAAACAGCATCATCTGAGCTTTGCAAAGTCACCATATCCAACAGGATACGTGGGAGGTAAATTCATTGATAGAGTGTAGCAACCAGTCTGCACTGTTTAGAGTTAGTACTGGATTGAGAGACTGGGATCCTGGAGAAAGACTCCCAAGATGTTTGCAGAAATTACAGAATACATATACAGGACAGTTTATGCTGACATCAATGTAAAGTAGAGAATTCATATTCTACATCATGAGATGGCAAACTTGTAGGTATCAGACACAGAGTGGCTTAAAGCAGCTGTGGCCCAGCTAAACTGAGAGCTTATAGCTTAAGCAAAATGTGAATTCCTGTATAGCACGCTGTTTGATTTTTAGAGTTCCTTATCTGTGGGAAGAGTAGGAACGAACATGCCTGCTTAGTGGTGGCCCTATGGTGCTCTTTCTCTAGAATATAAACACCTCATGAGAGGGCTGGCATATATATTGATTTTGGTTCTTTGTACAAACTGAAATAGAATTATGGCAGTCAAGTATGAAGAGGAGAGAAGGGATAGAGGAGAAATTGACAAATACTGAGTACTTAACTCTTGGCTAGTTACTATATTTAATTTTCCTCAGTGAGGCCTCATAACAAAACAGACTTGAATTCTAATTATTCACCTTTTAAAGGCAATGAGACTGACACATGGAGAGATCGGATTATTTGCTCTAAATCACGTCTCGTAAGTGGAAAGGCTGGACTTGGCCGTGTTCATTTCTAAAACGAATCTCTACACAGTTTTTTCTTTTTGATATATGATTTCACACTGTTAAATGCACACATACTTATTGTGTGTGTACACCCCTCATGGCCCCAACACAAACCACTTATAGCTTCAGAAAGGAAAAGAGATAGAAGCAGAAACATCTCAACAACCAATTTTCTAACACTATGAATCAGATCATTCCAAAGCAGTGCCCAGAAACATGGTAAGCCAACTGCAATATCTAATTCTTTCCTCATGGGAGACAGGGTAAGGTAGCTGCCTGCCCTACAGGCTGTGCAGTCAATCAGTCCTGTATTCAAATTCCAGCTCTACCACTTGACCAGCAGTATGACCATGGGTGAGTTATCGAACCTGAGTTTTAGTGTCTTAATCTGTAATACCAGCATAATGCCTCCTTCCTGGGGTGGTTGTGAGCAGTATGTGAAATAATGAATATTAACACATGGCTTTGAGTAGACATGCTCAATAATTAGTACCAGCTTGTATCACCATCATCATCTTAATCATCACCATCACTGTCATTATTTTTTGTCCATAAGAAAGGCTTTATTGGGGGATCTTTAGAAGCACTGGGTCCTTACTCTAACTGCCTCTGGTGTTGTTTAGGAAGGGAGTGCTTATAACAGTGCTCTTTGTTAATGAAACTCATTTGTAAAAGGTTCAAAGTACAACCATCTGTGTGAAATTATTTTCACCGGAAGTAAAATGCTGTTGCAATGCTCTCATGCACCCAGGTCTTGTGCATTGTGACTGTGGTGCACAGTGAACTAATAATACCTGTGCCTGTAAAGCATGTGAGCTTCCAAAGCTTCTTTACCCTGTAAACTCTAACACTGCCATCCTGTTTTGGAAGGACCAGTGTTTGATGCCTGTTTTCCTGTTTCTCCATTATTACGTAACTTCCTTACCAAAATCCTCTGAAACCTTCCCATTACCTAAACATACACTGTTCCTGATCTTGCCCTCACTCATTTCTGTAGCTTCACCTTTGGCCGCATCACTACATGTGCCCTCTATTTTGAACATACTCTGATCAGTGACTCTCTATCAAACCTCTTATCTGTCCTTAAGAGATTCAGTATATAAATGGTGCAGCACTTGAAGCAAGACAACCTGAGTCTCAGGTGGCATCTTGGGCAAATTTCTAACTCTCTAAACTTCAATATTTTTATCTGTGAGATGGGGACATTAGTAGCTACATCGTGGGTTGCTGTGAGGATAAGAAAAATGTTCACAAGGTTTGTATTTCCCTTAGATACCCAGGAAGAACCCAAGAATGAAGGTATGGTTGTAATTTTTTAGAGATGTAGTTATTTCTTATTACTGTTATTGAAGTGTTGCATGGTCATCGCCGTTACTCTGATGATGCTTTTCCTATCTCTCCTATGTCTCCTTCCCTAACCCCTCCCAGACTCATTTCCTGCCTGTGTCATGCCCTTCCCCCTTGGATTCTCAGAAAACTTTGAACAGACTTCTCTCATGGCAGTTTGTTTACTTAAAAAAAAAATCCATCCACTCAAGCATTTATCCTATGAGTAACAAGTAATCCAGTTATATTCCTTAAGTTATTAAAAAATACACAATTAAGTAATTATTGATTATAGTCACTATTCACTTATTTTCTTATATACCACTTCATCATTAAGAGGATTTGAGGACAACAACAACAAAAGTAAACAAAATTAGGGTGAAGTTAGTTGAATTTAGATGGGAGATCAATAGACAGAATTGACAAAGTAGGTTCCTATTTGTTTACTAGAGTTTTACTGCAAATTAGCTTTCAGCTTTTAAGTTGCTAATTCCACCAATTACACTATTCAGAGTATTTAAGATGCACTCAAGCCAGTTGTTTAGAAGGACATAGTATTCCTGTTACTAGGTCTTATGTGACATTCCTTTCCCAATTTTGAATAAAGAGATTTCTGTGACGTAGTATACAGCATCCTAAATGATAATTTTACAGTAATAAATTTCATAGGCTATACTAACTTTATTACAATGTATTTTAATGATTAATTTTCATGCTGATTTCCTTCCCTAGATTGTGTACTCCTATATACAGGTTACATGTGTTATTTATCTTTGCATAGTGAGCATCCAACACAATGAATGAAAAATACTTTTTTTTTTGTTAAATAAATGATGAATGTGTGTTTTAAAACATTTATTTTCAAACATGTATGTCAATAGCTTTAAGAAACCAAGAAACAGCTTTGAAATGTTCTAGGATATCAACTTTTCTTGTTTCCTATCTGCTCTAAATCCGTCTTTGCATAACTTTATCCTTAGAAAATACATTGCAGAACTTTTTGGGATGCAGTTACACATACAACAGAGTTCCTCCAACTTGCCACCTGCATATAATTATTTTCTTAGAAAAGTTAATGTGTAGCCACCTGCTTTATGGTCACATGAGTTTCCAGAGTTCACAGAGAATGAAAATACCAGTGAATGAGTTTGGCAGGCCTTGGGCCACACAGGCAGCAGAAGCAGGATATGGCTGTAGCACCATAAGCTAATTGCTGCAGAACATTTACATTGTCACAAATGAAGTCATTCATTTGAAACTTACAATGCTCACAAGCTCTAAAAGACTTATCACAAAGAAATGTGATTGTAGTTGAATAGAAACTTGTCTTCCTTATGCTTCCAAAATGAATAGTTTCAAGTTTCAGCAAGGATTGGGGGTCTTACAATGTGCACAAAAAAGATGTGAATGACAAATGCCATCCTTCTCATTGTTTAGGCTCTGTGAGATAAGTACTAGCTATTTCATCTAACTTCCATACAGAAGAAGAAGCTGGGAAGCTACCAAGAGTTCTTGCTATTTAATTATATCTAGTCTATTGTCATATGTAGCTGAGAATCTTTAGCTATTAAAAGCTAAGAGAGTAAGAGTCATATTCTGAAGTGGGTATATCTTAACGACTCCATTTTCTCTTTACAGAAGAGGAAGACTGCTGATGAGAGATGCTTCCAAATTAAAATGGTAAAGGGCTCAGAATATTCAAGGATGAGATTCCATTGTCTGATCTCTTTGTCCTTACATTCACTTATCTGCAGTCTGACTCTCCTCTCACCACGGAATAGAAACTTCAGAGTAAGTTCCTATGTGGCAGTGCTTTGAAATTCCAGATGCACTGGAGAGCTTCAAAAACAAACAAACAAGCAAACAGAAAACAGAAGACTCAGGCCCACCCTAAATCAAGTGATTCATAATTTCAGAATGAGATACACAGGCATTGGCATTTTTTTAATAGAAAGCTTCCCAGGTGTCCCTAGTGTGCAGCTAGGGCTGTGATCCCCCGAGTTAGAAGCTGAGGCTGTGTGAAGAGGTGTTGCATAAGGAGTATCTAGCCGGATAAGATTTATGCAGAAGTCTCTTTTTGTGTATATGGCTTCGGGGAGGATTAGGAAATACAACTTTGCTCCTGAAGAGGACTTCTCCCATCAGAATTTTCAGACAAGCACTGAGGGAAGGAAATATTTGAAGCTGATTAGAGGATATGCTGCCAAAGCTAGTCCCTGGTCAGGGTCCTGTTGCCTGCCATTTTCTTCATTGTGGAGATGGAGTGGAGGAATCAGGAGGAATGTCGTACATACTGAGCCTATCAGTATGCAGAGGGCAGATTTGCTGAAGGTTATCAAAGCCATCACCCGACCCTCACCATCCATGCTCTCTGTATATCTCGGTCTGTTCATAACCCACCTTGCTTCTGGAGTTTTTGGAGAGAGGCTCTTTTAGTGTATAGTCATGAATGACATCTTTGCACCCACAGGTTACTATCCCACCATCTTCAGTTGAAATTTAGAAATAATCAATGTGGAAGAGAGAAGGGAGCAGCTTTTAAGTGTAGATGGTATCACAAGGTAGCCAAGGTGAGTGTGCTAATTATCCAA